AAGCCTTACCATCAAGAGGTAAGATACCTGGAGGCGAACTTCGCTGTTTGAAAAAAATCCCATCTCCTTCAGAAAACTAAACAAAAAGGTTGGCCTTCTAACGACTCTTTGGGAGCCACGGTGTTGAGCTGTCGACCTCCTTAGATTTGATGTGGCAAGATTAACGAAGTAGATTAGAATTTGCCATGTTTCCTGTTGCGAGTCAAGGAGCGTGTCAGGAGAGGTAGGAAAACAGTGAGGGTCATTGGCAGGGTAAATTGAGATCGATACTTTTGAAATTGCCGGAAGCTCCAGGCGAAAAACAAAACAAAACTGGGTAGTCCGCCTTGCCACTAACCCGTTTGGTGACAGTTGAGTTCCATCACTGTAAAATGAAGGCAGTAATACTGACCCGACCTCCAGGTCTGTTTGAAGCTCCAGTACGGTAGTGTATAGGAAGCATTCCATGGTTACATTTATTGGGAGTCCAGTGTTCTGAGAAGCAGCAATCCATCTGGAAAGAGAGTGGGGTTATACTTGTTCTCTAGTGCCCTGGATTAAAACAAGGAGTCTATGCAGGTTTGCAGAATGCCTCTTCTGAATTGTTGCAAAGGATATCTTAACAGTCAAATGCAAGGCAGCTAGGAAACTATCTCCAGCCATTCAAAAGCAATCATAAAATCTGAAAGATGCAGGTAAGGATTTCATTCACTAACAGGGATAGGATCCAAAGGCCTTGGGTATCCATGGGTAGGTAGGATTTCCTGCATTTTGCTCACTTCTCCTTTAGGTCCACCTAGATTGTCACTTATTTGGACATCATCTATCTTTCCTTTTTCATTCTGTCCTATTTTTGAAGTTTGAAGGCTTGGGAGAGCACTTGTAGGTTATTCAAAAGACATTTCTTTTCCAACTTGCTATTCAAACATAGAATCTCTTTCTAGTTACATATGTTTTATGGTATTTATAGCAACATAAAAGAAGATAATTCTTGCATCTGAAGATGTCAAGTCACACTAAAGAAGAACTGCTGATACAGCAGTAATTCCTGTGTATCACTAGTTATCTTTCCTAGCTGGTATTCCAGTCCTTCATTAACTTACATAATTAAAGTTAAGTTGTGGGTCTCAAATAAAGTTTGGATTATTTCTTCAGTGTTTGTATGACAGATGGTTCACTTGTGAATTTATTAGTCATTTCTGTGCTGAAAATCCTTTTTTGTCTGTCTTTTGGGGAGAGTCTGGTTATTGAATTGTTGACTTTCCTACCTCAGTCTTCCAGGTGCTGGGGTTACAGGCATACACTACCATTCCCAGCTCTGAAACTGAAGATTCTTAACTGTCCTAGGTTTCTATGTAACTGTCTGTTGTGACCTCTGGCATAGTGTTCCCTTGTCTTAAGAATAAGCATACAGTGATTAAGAGTTAGGCTCTAGAGTCAGAACCATTTGTCTGGCTTTGAATTGTGATTCAATCAGCATCTTCAGCAAATGACTTAATCTCCCTAAACCTCATTTGAAAAGTAGTAGGATTGTTATGAGTGCTACATATGATAAATATGTAAAGTGCTGTCACTCTTTCTAGTATATAGTAAACACACACAAGCATGTTGCTTGTTTCCTTTTGGATTTAGTAAACTCTCATTGAAGCAAATTATTTTAGTTCACTTAAATTGTATGCCATGTATATGAAGATGATAGGGGAATTAAACCAATAAGTGGGATTTCTTGGCATCACTAGACAGTCTATGACTAGGTTTGTGTTGCCTAAAACCACCTTTAAAATGTTTGTTTGATGAACTCGGGAGGCAGAGGCAGGCAGATCTCTGTGTGTTCGAGACCAGCCTGGTTACAAGAGCTAGTTCCAGGACAGCCTCCAAAGCCACAGAGAAACCCTGTCTTGAAAAACAAAACAAAACAAAAAGTCTGTTTATTTATTTATTTATTTATTTATTTATCTTGTGTGTATGTGTGAATGTTGGGCATGTTCAGGTTACAGGACAACTTGCAGGAGTCTGTTTTCTCCTTCCATCATAATCTTTTGTACACTGTGAAGATGTGTCTTTGCCAAGGTGCCTTCTCATTGGTTTAATAAAGAGCTGAACGGCCAATAGCTAGGCAGGAAGAGGTTAGGTGGGACATCTGGGCAGAGAAAGCTCAGGAAAGAAGAAAGGAAGAATTGTCATCCAGATGAGGGAATAAGAGTGAGCAAGACTGGCTGGAGAGATAGCTCAGCGGTTAAGAGCACTGACTGCTCTCCAGAGTTCAATTCCCAGCAACCACATGGTGGCTCACAACTGCCTTGAGTGAGATCTGGTGCCCTCTGCCTGCATGCAGGCAGAAGACTGTATACATAATAAATAAATAAATAAATAAATAAATAAATAAAATCTTTAAAAAAAAAAAAGAGTGAGCAAGACATGCAGTAGGAGAGGTAAAAGCTATGAGCTACATGGCAGCACATAGATGAGTAGAAATGGGTTATTTTAAGTTGTGAGAGCTAGTTAGAAACAAGCCTAAGCTATAGGCCAAACTTTCATAATTAATAATAAATCTCTGTGATTTTTTTTGTGTGTGTGTGAGTGAGCGGGCAGCCCCTCCCCCCCAAAAAAATCCATCTACATTTCTCCACTGTGGCTAGTCCTTTTAAATGACACCTTATTTTGGTATATATCTTTTTTCCAGTGTCATTCTCCCACTTCCTCAGAATGTGAAAGACTATTTACTGGACGATGGGACTCTGGTGGTTTCAGGAAGGTAAAGTATATCAGAAAACAATTCTTTATAATCATAAATAAACAGTGTACTGATTAAATCAACATTTTTGCATGGGTGAGTAGATTAGCCTAGGCACACTATCCTCTTCATTCAGGAGGCAGAGGCAAATGGATCTCTGTGAGCTCAAGGCCAGCCTGGTTTACACAGCAATTAAAATAAAGAAATAAGTAAGCAAGTTCTTGAGATTTATGTTTAGGTTCTCATAGTTATACAGCAAGTGCTTTAACTCCCGAGTCACCTCCTCAGCCCCTTGTTTGTTTTTTGTTTTATCACATTCACACACTGGCCTGAAGTTTACTGTGTGTGCAAGTTGAAATCATTATTGTCTTCTGGATTTTTAGTGACGCTTTCTGGACTGGATTGTATTTCTGGCTCCTTGGCATTGATAACCCCTTTTCTTTTTCTTTTTCTTTTTTTAAACATTTATTTACTCCTATTTTATGTGCATTGTTGTTTTATCTGCATGTATGTCTGTATGAGGGTGTCAGATCCTCTGAAATGAGAGTTATAGACAGTTGTGAGCTGCCATGTGGGTCCTGGGAATTGAACCCAGGTCCTCTGGAAGAGTAGCCAGTGCTCTTAACTGCTGAGCCATCTCTCCAACCCTTTTCTTTTCTCTCTTTCTTTCCTTTTCCTTTCTTCCTTCCTCCCTTTCTTGCTTCCTTCCTTTCTTCCTTCTTTATTTTGGTTTATTTTTCAAGACAGGGTTTTTCTGTGTAGTTCTGGCTGTCTTGGATCTTGCTCTGTAGACCAGGCTGGTCTCCAACTCAGAGATCTGCCTGTCTCTGCCTCCTGAGTGCTGGCATTACAGGCGTGATACACCATTCTCTGGACCTTGATAACCATCTAATAACCTGAAAATTGTTAAAGAAGAGCTTCATTTGTGTGGTATAACTAAAGGATAAGGAAATGATATAAAATAGAAAAAGGGTTGTAAGCTTGGTATTAGGGTTCTGCCTAATGTGGTTAGCTTATGTTCTGAGTTGAATCTCCTTTACTGAAAAGAAAACTGCTCTTCCCAAATGTATATATAATAATTCACAGTATAATTGACCCCTAATATTAGAAGACATTTTATAAGTTTCCATGCTGTGGACACTGAGGAGCCTTCTATGTTGGTTTTTCATTAGTCAGATGCTTGCATGAGTCTCAGGTATTGGCAAGCACCATGTGGAATGAACAGTGTTAGTTGAGGGTGTTATATAACACTATTTGTGGGGAGATGTAAGCAGCTGTCTATTCACCCCACATAGGGGACCGATGACATACCCAACTTCAATTTGGTGAACCAATTTGTTTTATTGGAGCCAGTTAGAAGAATATGGTGAGGAGTTACAGGAGTAGAAATGACTCAAAGACAGCTGAGTGACCAGATGCTCATCCCAGGATAGGTGACAGCTCAAAAAAACTGAACCCTAGAGCATGATAAACCTAAAGGCAGTGGTTAGAGACTGCCTCTTCAGGCAATTCAGGCCCTCTGATCCTCTTTTAGGTAGCTCTGCTGGTCTCTGCCTTTTCTTGTGAAATGCTCTTGGCTGAGAGTTTTTCACAGCAGTCCTTACAACTTATATTTGCTTGAGGAGGGGAGGCCCAGAGAATCTGGTCAGTATCATATACTTCATGCACTTCTTGGAACCTTTGTGTTGTTTACTTCCTGAATGTGGGAGTCCCTGGTAATGCTACATCCTGCAGAGAAACAATTCACTCAAGGCAAGAAGGAAATCCAGTTCAACATGACTCAGTAGCCAGTTCTGGTTCAAACTTCTAGAGTCTTGACACCAGGCAGTTTATTTTAGACATTTAAGTACAGTACAGTTTTGGAAAAAAGTTTTCTGGTAACAGTTATCTCAATCCCATGTGCAAGTTTAAGATGTGACTACATTGAAACTCTCTTGCAAAGTACACGTAACCTCTACCATAAAGATGAGTTCTATAACTTAAGGGCCTAGGATCCTGTGTGGTCTCAATCATATAGATAGCATAGAGGTCACATTTCACCTAAAGATGGGTTCTATTGACAGAAACAATGCTCAAGATAAAGGTCTATAGAGGATGAGTTTGAAACAAGCACAATAGTCTGGGTAATTTGGGTGTGACCTGGCACTGTGTATAACCCAGGCCACCAGGGTATTAATGACATCCATTCCTAGCCTTCTGGGTGGAAAACAGGTATACATGTCTCTTGAACCTTGCTTAACATTCTTGGTTTCCCTGGTGCTTATCTGTGATACCCTCTACATCTGAGCTTGAAGAGCTTCCTCAAAGGATGGAATGTTTTACCTCCTTTTAGATCATCCTGTGACTTCATGAGCTTATTTCAAGATGGACGTTTCAGGTGGGAGGAAGTTGTTATATAGCAACAGCACTATACACTATGCACAGATCACGTGGGGAACCTGCCCTTTAGTAGTTGGTAAACAAGCTGCTTTTGTGAATCAGAACAGTACAGGGTTAATCCTTTCGTCAGATTGTCTAGGTTCAAATGTTTATTTATTTATTTATTTGGTTTTTTTTCGAGACAGGGTTTCTCTGTTTAGCTTTGGAGCCTATCCTGGCACTCGCTCTGTAGACCAGGCTGGCCTTGAACTCACAGAGATCCGCCTGCCTCTGCCTCCGGAGTGCTGGGACTAAAGGTGAGCACCACCAATGCCCAGCCTAATGTTTACTATTTTATAGCTCATTTTGTTACTGTTTTCTTATCTGTAGCGTAGAGCTTATCTGATGAAGGTGTTATAAGGATAAAAAACAATGATGAGTGGGCAATGCAGCAGAGTCCCAGCCTCATAGCTACTTGGTACCTGGTAGAGAGAGGTTCTGCAGGTTGGCAGTCACAAAAGACTGGACATAGGATAGAAGGAAAGGTTGAAAGGACCCACTGGGAAGAACTATTTTATATATATATATATGTGTGTGTGTGTGTGTGTGTGTGTGTGTGTGTGTGTGTATTATATTATTTTATTTTAGGATTCATTTATTACATATACAGTGTTCTGCCTGCATGCCAGAAGAGAACACCAGATCTCATTACAGGTAGTTGTGAGCCACCATGTGGTTGCTGGGAATTGAACTGAGGGCCTCTAGAGGATCAGCCAGTGCTCTTAACCACTGAGCCATCTCTCCAGCCCCCCCCTTTTTTTTTATATATTCTTAGCACAAACAAAATTCTTTAATTATCATTAATCTTAATAAGTACAACAATTAAGGAAATTCACAAGTATATTAGTGAAAATTGAGATAAATGTTATTAAGGTGTGGTGCTTTGAATAAGAATGGGCTCCATTGACTCATGTGTTTGATTGCTTGGCCCATAGGGAGTGGTGCTATTAGGAGATGTGGCCTTGTTGGAGAAAGTGTGTCATTATGGGGGTAGGCTTTGAGGTCTCATATAGTCAAGCTATGCCTAGTGTGGCACTCAGTCTCCTGCTGCCTGGGGATCAAGTAGAAGTCTCAGCTCCTTCTCCAATACCATATCTACCTGTGTTCTGCCATGTCCTGCCATGATGATAATGGACTAAACCTCTGAAACTGTAGGCCATCTCCAATTAAATGTTTTCCTTTATAAGCGTTACCAAGGCCATGGTGTCTACACAGCATTAAAAACTAACTAAGATTCAAGGTCAGTTACTAACCCTAAGTTGCTGGGACTGTGTAGGAGGTTAGGGAATGCACTAAGGAAATAATAGTAAAGTCTCTGCCATGGGAAGGTTGGAAGGTAGCTAATCAGCAAAGGGCTTGAGAGAAAGATCTTCCAAGCTAAGAGAACAGCCTTATAAAAGCTCTGGAGCATTGAAGACGTCAAGTGAAGAAACTAAGGTCATGGGACTGAGGCACTGCAAGCTGGAGGCAAACACCAGCAGAACTGAAACATTTAAACTGTCTTTCTGACTCCAGAGTCTGTGCTCTTAGGTGCCAGCTCTACGTAAGATGCAATATAGAAAGTAGAGAATCCTGGGCTGGCAAGAGGCTCAGGGGGTAAAAGACACTTGCCAACCTCAGCAACCTGAGTTTGATCCCAGGAACCCACATGGTAGAAAAAAAGAAACAACTTCCATGAGTGATTCTCTGTTCTCCATTGCACACACACACAAGTAAATAAATAAATGTAAAATATATTTTACTTCTAAAAAAAGGAAGTACAGGATCTCCTAGGCCAGCAAGATGGCTCAGCAGGCAAAGGAACTTGTCTTTAAGCACAATAACCTGAGTCTGATACCTGGGACCCACATAGTGGAAGAAAAGAATTGACTCCTGAAATTTTTCCTCTGACTTTTATGTGTACACCATGCCTTTCCCAGACACACAGACAGACACTTTTATTTATTTATTTATTTATTTATTTATTTTTGTTTTTGTTTTTGGAGACACGGTTTCTCTGTGTAGCTTTGGAGCCTATCCTGGCACTCACTCTGTAGACCAGGCTGGCCTTGAACTCACAGAGATCTGCCTGCCTCTGCCTCCTGAGTGCTGGGATTAAAGGCATGCGCCACCAATGCCCAGCTGACAGACACTATTTTAAACAAACAAACAAACAAAAAACCCTATAGCCTAACTTTTTTTTTTTTTTCTTCAAGACAGCATTTCTCTGTGTAGCTTTGTAGACCAGGCTGGCTTTGAACTCACAGAAATCTACCTGCCTCTGCCTCTCAAGTGCTGGGATTAAAGGCATGCACCACCACCACCACCACCACCACCACCACCACCACCATGAAAGTTTTACTTTCATGTTTGTTTGCCATGTGTGTGCCTGGTCAGAAGATGGCATCAGATACTCTGAAACAGAAGTTATAGGTGGCTGTGAGCTGCTGTATGTGTGCTAGGAATTGAACCCAGGTCCTCTACAAGAGTAGACAGTGCTCTCAACTGCTGAGCCATCTCTCTAGCCTTCACATTTTCAAGTGGAGGACCTTTGTATTATATGGTTAAGCACAGCATATTAAAGATGACATTTCATTGGAAAGCATAGTGTAGCTCAGACAGATGTGAGAGAGGGAAGGTTGACTTCAGTAGGTATGCACAAGTAGACAGCACACTAGTGTTATTACTCACCATAAGGTAGTATCTGGTTAGATTTGTGAGCCTGGAAGCTCAGTCCTTTAACATTATGGAGAGTTGATTAGGGTTTGAAGAATTGATGCCACTACAGATTAAGTTAAGAGTGCCAAGGAGACTGTTCTGTTTTTTGTCAGTACTTGGAATCTAGTGTGAGCAAATATGATCAGAATTACTGTAGTTTCATACATCGAAACAGTATGTTACCACCATTCTTTTCAAATATTACCTCTATCCTCAATATTATTTCTTATGATGTTTGGAGATGTAATGCCCCCTGCCCCATATGTGTGCATTTGTATGTGAGTGCTGAATAGGTAGGTGTGCCATGTTGTGCACATGAAAGTCAGAAGACAATCTCAGGTGTTGGTCTTCACCTTCCACCTTGTTTGAGACAAGTCTCTGTTGTTTTTTGGATACCCCAGGCTGACTAGTCCATAGCTTCTAGGGAGTTTGGGGATTTGCACTCAAGTTCTCATATTTGTGTGGTAAGCATGGTAAGCACTTTAACCACTAAGCCTTCTCCCCAGCATGATTTAGCCATCATACCCCCTGTCTTCATGGTAATTTTAGTTAAATCAGTACTGAGTGTTTAGCGTATTTTGCTATCGCTGATGACTACTGTAAGGCACATTTTTGCTTTGTTTTGTTTTGTTTTCTTCTTCTTGTTTGTTTGCTTTTAAGATATAGGTCTCACTATGTTGTCCTGGTTAGACCTCTGTTCCTGAATTCAGTTGATTTCTTCAACTTTGGCTCTCAAATAGCTGGGATGATAGGCATATATCACTGCCATGTCTAGCTCATCTTTCATTTTCACTGGAGCTAATAAGTGTACTTTAAATTTTGCTTTATTTTCTGATTGTTTATCTCTGATATTTTGTAGATATTCTTTTTTTAAAGATTTATTTATTATGTATACAGTGTTCCGCTTGCATGTATGCCAGCATGCTATCAGAGGGAACCAGATCGAATTACAGATGGTTGTGAGCCACCATGTAGTTGCTGGGAATTGAACTCAGGACCTCTGGAAGAGCAGCCAGTGCTCTTAACCTCTGAGCCATCTCTCAGCCAGCCCTGTAGATGTACATACATACATACATATATACATACATACATACATACATACATACAATCACCTGTTTTTACAACACCTACTACAGTTGGCAATTCTGTAAGGCAGGTATACATTAGTTGGCTTGGACTTGCTTCTGGGTTGGAATTTTGTTTTGTGGGCACTACATTCTTATATCTCTTAATTTACCATTTTATTGAAACAAGCTCTAGAATGCATAAGGGGAAAGCTTTTGAGTAGTTATATATATGGAAACATTTTTATTCTTTTCTTTCATACTTGGTGTTGGTGAGTAGTTGGCTTAATATGAAATTCTAGGCAGAAAATTGCTCAAATTCAAATTTTGAAGGCATAATTTACAGTCTTTCAATATGCTGTAAGGTCCCATGTCATTCTGGTTTGCTGCATGTCTTACAAACAGAATCACTGCCATTTTTTATCCTTAACCATCTTTCCAAGAGTGCTAAGATAACATAACAGAAAGCCTGAGGAGGAGAGAGGATGTCCCCCTCCAGAATAAAAGCAGTCCGTGATCCCCCTGGGTTATGCATGGAACAGGTATATTTGGATCCCTTTGTAAAAGATGAGACTCCTTAAGAGGACGGCCCCTCAGTTGTCCTGCAAACCTGGGCCATTCTGTGTTGCCCCTGTAAGACTGGAGGGTCACAAGGGAACTGATTGAGAGATGGACTCATGCTTTGTGCTGGCCTGTGAGTAACAGAGCCCTTTGTCTCTGAGTCAGGAACCTCATGATACCTGCTAGTGTTCAGCTAGCTGTGGGAGGCTTTATTGTTAACTTGTTCATATGGCAAAAATCTGATCTTCATTCTTAGCCCTGGGCAAGTCTTCTGTTGGTCACATGGCTATAGCCATTTGGTGACCAGGCTGAGGTGGGTCATCATAAGATGGTCTACCTCACAGGCCTGACAATTAGTGCTATCACTTGAGTCTCCTTTTCCATGCCGACCTCCTCATCCTCAATAAGGCTAGCCCTAGGTTCTTTACAGAACAGTGAAAACATTCCAAAAGGGTGTGAGGAAAAGCTGTAGGGACTTCTAATAGTCTAGTGTAGAATCAGGTGGTATTGCTTTGAATAAATTATGTGGGTTAGAATGAGTCTTGAAGCCAGTCTAAATTAGAGGAATGGGAGTATGATGGGTGGAAAGGCAGAATAATCCTACAAAGAAATATGTAGAAAGTTTTTTGGCCTGCCTGTCTGCCTCCTTTCCTCTCTCCATCCCTCCTTTGACTTTGTCCTGTGTGACCCATTGTAGATCCAGAGTAATCCTTGACACCATTGCTCATGCTCAGTTTTCCTTGTACCAATAAAAAGTCTTGGTTTTACCCCACAGTGCTGTCCATTAGCCGTGTAGGTAACTCTTCCTGTTTCCCTTCTGTATCTGCCTTCATCTTGTCTGATCCTCCCTGTCTTTGCTACATGACTCTGACAGTATTAGTAGAGATGGAGTTTAGTCTTTTTCTTCTAGTTTGAGTGATTTCTGAGTAGGCAGGTGTTTTCATTCTGCCATCTCTTACTGGCAGTATACTCCCATTAGCCATGTTTTATTTAACTATCTATCTGTCTGTCTATGGTTTTTTTGAGAAAGGGTTTCTCAAAACCTTTGTAGCCCTGGCTGGGCTGTCCTGGAACTCACTCTGTAGACCAGGCTGGCCTCAAACTCAGAGATCCAGATCCACCTGCCTCTGCCTCCTTAGTGCAGAGATTAAAGGTGTATGCTACCACTGCTTGGCTTCTATCTATCTATCTATCTATCTATCTATCTATCTATCTATCTATCTAAATTCCATGTTTTTATTAGCTTTTGTCTCAAGACATGAACATTTCTTTATATTATTCTCCAATCCTAAGGCTATCTGCTTTGTAATCATCTGTCTGTCTATCTATTTATTTATTGTAAATTCAGTACATTTGAAATTATGACTTCATGGCACCAAAGTATTTTTCTCACTTAAATTTTGCATTATGTTTTCTTAGGGAAGATCCACCAACAAGTTCCCAGCCAGACAGTGATAATGAAGCAGAAGAAACACAGGTCAGTAGAGAATAGTCTGTTTAGTATCTGTTCTCATTCAGACAATCTCTGAAATGCTTTTGATAGATCTTACCTTATGTTTTATTATATGAAAGTCTTACTTTGACATATGCTTTGTGAATACAGATATTTGTATATATACATATATACATATATATATGTATATATGTATACATACACACACAGTGCATGTGTGTGGTTTATGGGTTTGTACATACTTATGTATGTGTCGCATGCATTTGCATGCAGAAGCCTGTAAAGGGCATCCAGTATCCTGCTTTATCACTCCCCATTGTATTTCCTTGAGACATTCTGTTGCTGAACCTGGAACTCACTATTTTTCAGCTAGGCTGGTACTGGCCAGGAAGCCACTCCCAACACCAGGGTTCCAGGCGTGCACAGCTCTTTCTGGCTTTTACATGGGTATTGAGGATTAGAACTCAGTCCCTCATGTTTGAATAGCAAGTGTTTTTACCTACTGAGCCATCTCCTCATATATCATACCCAGGGGAAGATGTCTCCTGTGTGTCATTTTTAGGTAGCATACTACCTTTGTTATCCCAATATAGTATTTAAATTGAATGTTTTCTTTCTCTTTTGTCTATGCAGTGGTCTGATGATGAGAGCACAGCCACACTTACGGTAAGAGCAGAGCCTCACCAAGATGGGGCAGCCTCACACTGACACACAAGAATGAGCCTCAAGGCTTAAGTGCATGCCTCTAAGTTTGATGAGCTTGCCATGGAATAGCTTACTGTCTGTGGGTTATCACTTACTCTTTATAAAAATAACTTATGTCATTGTTTAACAGGCAAGCATAGTTTGCCCCCTTTCCTCCTCTGCATACAAAAGAAATATCAAAAGTGTATATTTTATGTTCTCCTTGCTTCTGTTAGACCTGAAAGATGGAATTCAAGCCAAATGTTAGCTCTGAGGTTCCCAGGTGAATGTGAATTAAAAGGAAAAGTCTGTATTCATTTACTCAAGGGTATTTAAATAGCATAGTTATTTCTTTCAAGAGAGACTGAAGTATTACTCACAGGAACTTTTGTTTAGTTTGATTAAAGAGATACAGTTTCAAGGATACATGAAAAGACGTGGAGATGTCTGAAAGGGGTGTTATTTCCTTAGATTACCATGCCAACAGATACAGAGATGGGAAATTTTTGTCTTGTTTACTCCAGATGCCATGCATATCACTCACTCTTATATATGAAAATCTCATTCAGCTCAGTGTGATTCTGTCAGACTCAGGCCACTAAATTCTGCTCTGTGGGACAAAGATATTTATTTGATTTCTGCCATCAAAGGGTTTGTAAACCAGGGGGAAGTAATACTTAAGGCAGGAGGTAGATGGCCAAGATGTCAAAGCAGAGAGAACAGTTAACTGAGTATATCCACAAAGGCTTCAGTGGGAAGCAACATGTGGCCAGGATTTTCAAAATATAATTTTTTATGAATCCTTTGAGAATTCATATCTTATACTGTGTATTTTGATCATATTCATATCTATTCCTCCACCTAACTTCTCAGACCCCTTCCCATCCCCACTCCCAACTTTATGTCCTCTTCTTTGATTACCCACCCACTCTGTGCTATGTATATACTCATGGATATGGAGCCATCCATCCATTGACACATTTGACCTGGATCTTAATGGGGATATGGGTGATTAGTATATGGCCTCACATTTAAATAATATAGATGGATAAATAATACATGTAACTTAGTCTGTTCCTTCTGCTATAACACAGTATACTGTATAATTTATTTCTATCTGTTAATATTTATTATGTATATATGCACAGGTGCATATGCATATAGGTGTGCATGCACATATGCCCGGGTACATGTGGAGTCCAGAGGACAACCTTGGATACCATTGTTAAGGATGTCACTCATAACTGGTTAGGGGTGTTTCCAGCTTGGGAGGTAGAGGCAGGTGATTCTCTGAATTTGAGGGCAACCTCGTCTACAAAGTCAGTTCTAGAATAGCCAGGACTATTACACAGAGAAACCCTGTCTCAAAAAACCAAAAAAAAAAAAAAAAAAAAAGAGGAAAAAAAGAAAAAGAAAGAACACGATTCTTTATTTGAGTCTTTTATAAAAGAAGGTTTAAATAGTTTTTTAGGATATATATATATACATATATATATATGTATGTATGTATATGTATGGATAAATGGACTTAGTGATTGTAGTGTGTTCTAAAACAGCATGTGAAAATAATTCATTTCACAATGTAAATATAAATAAATAGACGTGCATAGAGAGTAGGGTTTGGGGAACAATGATAAAACAAATGGGGTGAAAGGGAGAAAGAGCCTATGAATAGTATATAAGCATTCTTGTTGATCTTACATTTCTGGAAGTCTGACATTATTTTATAATAAAAACCTAATGAATATTTAAGTAATTAGGTTCTCCATGTGGAAGTAAGTAGAGATGGGCAGTAGGAACCCTCATGAACGGATACCTCTTAGTCAAAGAGATACTGAAGCCTGGTCCATTGAAGGAAAATCCAAAGTAAACATTCACTAGTATAAGTAAAAAGCTATCAAATGAGGAATACCCCCATTCACCAGAGAGAGGTGGGGGATATGAATCACCTGTGTATAATCCCAGCGCTCAGGAGACTCAAGTGTGAGGATTGCAATCTGGACACCATCTTGGGCTAAAACCTAGGCCTAAGCGTTGTCTCAAAGACAAAGAAGGAAATAGTAATCAAGATTTCAAAAGCACCATGGTAAGCTTGCAATTTGGAAATATAGCTTAAAGACAATACAACTTGGATTCATCCCATTGTCCCCCAAAGCAAGTCATTAAAAGTGTGCTTAGGGACTGGAGAGGGACTGGGCTCAGCAGTCAAGAGCACTGCTGCATTTCCAGACAACTCAGGTTTGGTTCCCAGGACTCATATGGGAGCTTATAGCCTGTTATAACTCCAGTTCTAGAGGATCCGTTCACCTCTTCTGGCCTGTGTGCTGCCGGACTTAGATATAACACTGACAGGAGAGGTTCTTCTGTATGCTGTGAATGTGTGTTTCTCTTACTGGTTAATGAATAAAGCTGTTGTGACCAATGGACAGGCAGGATTTAGCCAGGTGGGAAATCCCAACAGAGCTGGAGAAAGGTAGGAGGCAGAGTCAGGGAGATGCCATGTAGCTACCAGGAAGGTAGGATGTTCAGGCATTCTCCCATAAGTCAAAACCACATGGAGATACACAGATTAATAGAGATGGGTTAATAATTAAGACACAGCTAGCCAATAAGCCTAAGCCATCTACCAAACAGTTATAATTAATACAAGCCTCTGTGTGTTTATTTGGCACTAAATGACTACAGAACCAGTCAGGACAGAAACATCTATCCACACAACACAGTGCATACATACAAGCAAAACAGTCATACACATAAGATAAAGAAAATAAAATCTTAAAAAATAAAAGTATGCATAGCAAATGATAGTATTATATGAAGTTCTTAGAATGTCATATTTATGGACAAAAACAAAAGAAAAAGGAAAAGGAAACCTACCCTCTCTGAATGAGTGTAGTACAGAATTGAGGCTAGAAAAAGGCAGTTGATGAAATCTCAGAATGTCTAGGGATATCAAATGAAAGTGTGGCTTTTTATCCCACTCACTGTGGGAACACTCCCCTGGACAACTGACTAGTGCCCGTGTGCAGTGGAGCTATGAGCTTGAAACAGTAATCTAATGTCATCTGTTTATTAGTCATTTCATAGTATTAAATCATGACTCCACTGCAGATATGAAACTCTTGATTTAACACATTTTTAAAGATTTTACTTTTAACTCTTGGAGGAACCAAGCAGCTATTAAAACTGGCTAAAAATAAAATGTAAAGAAAAGACATAGTGATCATGAGTAGTAAGTGAATATGTAATCGTCTGGGATGGGAGGATGACAACTGGACCCCTTTCAGACAGGATGTCCACAGGACTTCATTCTCAAGTCATTATGAGTTAGCTATAGTTTACCAAGTTGTTCATAGTAGGGGCATAGTGAAAATCACATAGTGGTGTGCTGTTTGTAAACTTTTTGTAATTTGAATTTTTTCTGAAGGATCCATGGTTTAGTATCTCATAATGCTGAATGATTTTTGACAATTTGAGAGAACCAAGCACATCTTTTAAAATGTAATAAATAGACCTGGGCGTAGTGGTGCATGGCAGCAAAATGAACATCGAGAGGGAGGGAGGGTCAAGAATTCAAGGCCAGTTTTGACTACATAGAGTTTTTTAGGTCAGCCTGTGCTACATGAGAACCTCTCTCAAAAATAAAGCAAAACAATACAAACAAACAACAGCAAAAAAACCCAGGTTTTTTTTTTACAGATTGCCTAAAGTGCACATAACCCTGGAGTCAACCTTTAGTTCTACAAAACCAAAGCAAAATGTATGAAATGTAGCAGTCCTTCCGTGCAATGTTTTGTGGAGTAGGGAAATGGAATTATTTTGTCTTTGTAATTATTATTTTTAAATTTTATGTGAATGGGTGTTTTGTCTGTATTTATATCTATGCACCATGTTCATGCCTGGTGCCTATAGAGGTCAGAAGAGGGTATAGGATCCCCTGGAACTAGGGTTGTAGACAGTTGTGAGCTGCTATGTGGGTGCTAAGAATTGAATCTAGGTCTTCTAAAGAGCAGCCAATCTTAAACATTGAGCGAGCCATCTCTACTGCCCCAGCTCTATCTCTTACAGACACTACTGCTGTAGTGATGCAGAGCTTAGATAAGTGGCTTTTGTTGACAGCTCTAGGACAGCCAGACCAGCAGCTTCTGGTGATTATGAGGAACTAATTTGTATGACAGGAATTATACATCCTTTTGATGGGAGAGGCAAATGGAAATACAGAATTCCTTACTCAGTTGTTCATCGAGAGGGCTTCATGACTGATTGTGTCTAAGCCGAGTTGGTGTAGTCTATCAAATAATGAAAGAACTTGTTACTAACCAACAGGTTAGTGTCTTACTTGCAGTTAACCCCTTCTAGAGTTGAGATTGCATCTTAGTGTTAGAGTGTTTATTGCATGCACAGGCCAGGAATCACGTCTTAGCCTACAAATCAAACAAAACCTACCAATGAGTTGTTTCTAATTGGGCAATATATTTCCTTTTTTAAGAACTTACTTTTTGGCCTTTCCCCTAGAATCGTCTCAGTTTTTTTCTTTCTCTTCACTGAGCTAGATCTTGAGGGTCCATAGGAACCATCTGGGTTTTGTAGTGTGTAGGTAATTTTAGACTTTGTCAGAATATTTTTCTACTATGGAATTTGATTAATTTTTTTTCAGAACCTGCAGTTGCCCAGTAGGGGGCAGCAACCCCCTTTCTAGAGGCTAATACAGTCAGAGTGACAGGAAGAGTTTGTTAATGTCCTTGTGTCCTAGATCCCCAGAAAGTCCTATTTCCATACCCCTTGATATTTACCTCAAGTTTAAGGCAGGGCCTATTGGCAATCAAGTGTATCTTCTTGTTGAATGGAAGTTTTTCTGTCACTTCCTGGTTGAAACAAACACTAGACTGAGTTACTTTTTATTCGAAAAATGTCTGTTTCTAACTCAATCAAAAAGAAAAGGACATTTTAACTTACCCAGGTACTATTTGGGATTTTTGCTTATATTACAACTTGCCTGTAAATAGTAGTGTTTAGGTATAATTTATCACATCATGTATTTTTCATTTTTACTAAACCTTTCCCACAATGGTCCTTTAAGCATTGGATATTATTTCTGAGAATTGGAGTGTATGTACAGTCAATTCCTACCTCGCTCCAGTTTCTCGAAAAATAACAGCTCTCATTATTGTGTGTGTGTGTGTGTGTGTGTGCGTATGTGTCTGTGTGTACACGTGTCTATGGAGGCCAGAGGAAGATATTGGGTATCATCTTCTACTGCTCTTCATCTCATTTTGTTTAAAAAGTGTCACTCAATAAACTTGGAGTTTGTCATTTCAGTGAGGCTGGCTGGCCAGTGAGCTCTTGCAATCTGCTTGTCTCCACTCTCCCAGTGCTGGTGTTACAGGTATGGGAAGCCATGCCTCACTTTTGTACTGAGGGTTTAAACTTGAATCCTTACATTTGCTGTGCAGAGCACACTTACACACTGCCTTGTACACCTCCCCAGCCTCAACTGTCCTTGAATTTGCTATATAGCCAGGATCTTCAGCTCTTAATTCCTGCCTCTGCTTGCCAAGTGGTGGGATTACAGGACGTATGCCATCACAGTTGGCTTCAGATGCTGGCTTTATGTAAGCACCAGTGATTTGTTACTTATGTACTATGTACTTGATGGTATCTGTGTTTTCAGAGATGTGAGTTTTGAATGTTTTAGAAAATACCCATTTAGAAGTTGATTATTTCTCTTTCTGGTAAATGTTATTTCTTTGCTGATTGTATTTAATTGAGTGGAGGACTAGAACAGCAATTTGTATTCTAAATAATTGTTTTAACATCCTAACTACAACCTTGAGATATTGATCATATTTTCCATGTCTGTAGCTCATGATTTGTTCTCTGTCTTTGTAGGCACCAGAGTTTCCTGAGTTCACCACTCAAGTCCAGGAAGCTATCAATTCGCTCGGGGGTAGTGTCTTCCCTAAGCTTAATTGGAGTGCCCCAAGGGTAGGCGCACATAAGGAAATCTCATTATTTGAATACTTGTTTGTTTTGCTCTTTATTTCATTATATATCCTCATGGAAGATCTATTATATTCCTAATTCCAGGAAAAAATGCTATTGAATTTATTATATTTTTCCTCTGTTTTATTTTGATTTTGCCATGTGTACTTTCCTGGGTCTGTGAAATACTATGTATTCTACCAAAAGACAGTTTGACCTCTTAATGTTGCCAATTGTGCTTGAATCCTAGGTATGTTCATAGTCTGCATTTTTTAAAACGTCACCTACTCAGCTGAGAAAAATTTCCTCTGTTGGAAAGTACTAATAAATATGCTGGAGCAGAGAGATAGCTCAGTGGGATAGCCTGATAACCCGAGTTTAATCTCGAGGACCAACAAGGCAGGAAGGAACCAACTCTTGGAAGTTGTCCTCCAGTCTTTGCATCAGTACACACCTCCCTCTGTGCACTGCAGTAGGAAGTGCATATTCACTTGGGGGCACCTTTTGTTCTCCCCAGTATTCAGGGTTTCTAGTGGCTTTCATTTGGCAAACACCATGTATTCACCTGATGGAGGCTTACTATGATTATTACCATTTTCTTTTTCCATCTTTTACTTTCCTTGGAGTTTGTAGTTGCATTCTTTTTTTTTTTATTCAGCTGTATGGTTTGCAGTGTACATACAGAACATATGTATAAATCATATTTATTGGAATTAAATATGATGGGAAGTTATTGTCTTTTTCATTGGGAGAAATTATCATATAGAAGTTTTTGAATTAATTTTTAGTGTCTAAGCCAGCTTTGCATCTCTATCTGAGTAATGTTTTAAATTTTCTTTGTTTTCCACTTAAGATGGAAAGATATTTTTGGTTATAAATTCCTTACTTGTCCATTTGTTTATTGACTGACCTATATGCACTAGTGCTTTCTTCCATGTAGTGTGGATAATTGGATAGTTTTGGTAATTATCAATGTTTTTTAATGTGTTTTTTTAAATCCTGTGTCTGGTCTGTCTATAGAAGTGTGACTTAATCACATTTCACTGAGCCTTGTTCCCTAATGTCCACATGTCCAGCACAGCCACTGATTGAAACTGTCTCAATTTCTTCCTTTTTGATCGAATAACTGGGGTCTTAAGTGTATTGACAATCTAAGTCCAGGTGTTTTTTTGTCAGTCTCCCCAAACAGGAATGACTGCTCTTATTTTGGAGAGTAGCTGTTTCTTTACCACTTGAATCTTTTATTAGCTGGTGTGTGTGACGTCATTAATCCTCCTTCCATCTTAACATGAAAAACATTGGAAAGTACTTGGCCCTGGCCTGAAATGTGTGAATCCTACTATCTCAGTGTGTATAGTTACACTTCTTTTTCTAAAAATTATATTTGTTTGTTTAGTGAGTGTATTTGTGCATGCACACTTGATGGTCAGAGGACAATTTGTGGGACTTGGTTTTCTTCTTCTCCTATGTGTAGCCCAGGTATTGAACTTAGGTGATCAAGGTTTTTGGGCATTGCCTTTACCTACTGAAACATCTTGGTCTTCAGTGTGCATAACTGAGTATCTGGCATGCTCTGGTCATGTTCTTTTTGTTGGGAAGTGTGTTTGACATCTGACAGTTCTACTAAAATTTGCTTGGTTGTTTTCTTTAAACCCTTGAGATGCTGTGTGTTAATTGCTTTCATTTATATGCCTGAGCTGCAGTTGTGGGATGTGTCTTAACTCACATATGTTTATTATTTAGGATGCATACTGGATAGCAATGAATAGTTCTTTGAAATGTAAAACCCTCAGTGACATCTTCCTGCTTTTCAAGAGTTCTGATTTCATCACTCGTGACTTCACACAGCCGTAAGTGTCTTGTGAGTAGCTTCCTATTGGTAAAATTCTACTTTCTAGTGCTCTACTATAACAGTTCTGTATCATGAGCTACTTTGTGGCCCTTAAGTGGCATTTTAAAGCAAACCGTCTTTTTTCTTTTACAGCAAATGCTATATAGTAGATATATCTAAAAAACAAGAATATATATATATATATATATATATATATATGAGAAACACTTTAGTAATTTGTTGTTATTGTTGTTGTTAATGCTTTTTTGAGACAGGGTTTCTCTGTGGCTTTGGAGGCTGTCCTGGAACTAGCTCTTGTAGACCAGGCTGGTCTCGAACTCACAGAGATCCACCTGCCTTTGCCTCCCAAGTGTTGGGACTAAAGGCATGCCGCCACTGCCCGGCTTTAGTAATTTTTTCTATTATAAATTTCAAATGTGCTTATAATATAAAAACAAAATTAGTAACTACTGATGAGGAAAAAACAGAAAAGCATGGTGAGCTCACTACATTATCAGCTGTATATACTTCCAGATTTCTTTTGATTCATAGATATAATGTAAATAAACCTGTCTTTGTCTAGTAAGGATTATTTAAATTATTCATATATTTTTATTTGTGTGTGTTTGTGTGTTATGTGTGTGTATACAAGTCATGGAGCTCATGTAGAGGTTAGAAGATAGCTTACAGGAGTTGATTCTTTCCCTTCGCTATATGGATTCCAGGGATCACACTCAGGATGTCAGGCTTGGTAGCAATTGCCTCTACTTCCTGAGTCATTTTGCCAGCCCACCTGCCCCTTTTTTTAAAATCTTGGACTTTTTTTGTTTTATGTATATGGTGTTTTGCTTGCATGTATATGTGTGCCATATGTATGCTTGGTGCCTTTGGAGGCCAAAACAAGGCATCAGATCTCCTAGAGCTGGAGTTATAGATATTGTATCTGTCATGTGGGTGCTGGAAATTGAACCTGAGTCCTCTGGAAGAATAGCCAGTACTCTTAACTGCTAAGTTCATTCTCCAGTCCAACTTGAAGATTGTGATTCAGTTGTTCGTAATTGCTCTATAGGTTGTGTTTGCAGTATATAGTGACAGTATGTTAGCAGCATATAGTGACATCTTTCTGTGTCATTAAATGCTTACACTCATCATTATTTTATCTGACCTTAATGGTTTGTCATTGTATTCTGGTAGTGTGATGCATTTGAGCAATTCTCTTTTCTTTTATGAAGCTCTGCAGTGATGGTCCTCAAAGTAAATCTTGAAGATACATTTTTTTTTTTCAAATAGAATTATTGTCTACTTGATGGTAACTGTGTGGCTAAAGAACTTGAGCTGTGCCGGGTGGTGGCAGTACACGCCTTTAGTCCTAGCACTTGGGAGACAGAGGCAGGTGAATCTCTGTGAGTCTGAGGCCATCCTGGTCTACAGAGCGAGCTCCAGGACAGCTATGGCTACACAGAGAAACCCTGTCTCAAAAGAAAAAAAAAAGAAGAAGAACTTGAGCTGCTGCTGCTAATTATAGCAAGGCAGGGCATTCACCATTGAATGTGCGTGCCCCGTTCTTCCTTTGTCTCATCACCAGACAACAGCTATCCCTGACCTCCCTTCCTAGTCATCTTCTAAACACCAGTCATTGTAGTTAAACTAGTCTGTAAGTTCTGCTTTAAGCTTCAGAAATACAGTGCTTGCATGCTGGTGCACACCCCATTTCCCTAACTGTGCAGTAGGCTTTGCTCCGGCAGTTCACTCTGCTTCAGCCTCAGCTTCTATTTTGAAGGGACCCTGACATGGCTAGGTAGGTCCATTACCTGACAGTCACAATCAGCTCTGTATATGGGATGATAGTGTTGGTAAGAGAAAACAATGTTTTGTAGCCATCAATGAGTGTGTTTGTATCCTAAGTTCATTATAAAAGGAATTTAGGGTATGGTTCAATTATTACATATATGATTAGCATGCATGAGGCCCTGCATTCCATCCTGAGTGGCATCATAAAAAATAGCATATAGAGGGAATGGGTTAGCCAGGTATTTCTATAGCTGTTCATCTCTGGCTTTATAGAAATGAACACAATTAACAACAAAAAGTCTAAGCATGTATTGTTTTCATATGCAGTTACTGACCTTTTATGATCGTGCTGACACAGATATTACTGGGAGTTGGTGGCCTGCAGTTTTCGTTTTAACAAATGCAGCCACATTTGTATTCTGGCAGATTCCTCTGGTTAGAAGAAAGTCATTGCTTCACTCGCCTCCCCAAAGCTTTCTAACATTCTGATGCTTTGAGTAAAAAGATCTTGAACTATATACATTCAAACTGTGTTGTATCTGTTAAGTGATAGGGACTCTTTAGTACAGACCTTTAGTAGTCATTGCAGTAAGAATATGAGGATATCTTGGCCTTCCCAAAAATAGTTTTACATTACTTTTAATTTTGAAGCTGATGGTTTTAAAAATCAGCTTTGACATTCACCAGTGGGTAGTAAAACTACCAGTCATGATTTACATTTTGTAGTTTTTGACTTTTAAGGAAAAAGTTAAGTCAGCAAGTCAATGTGAGACCGTGGCTTTAGAATGCTTACTCACAAATAGCCATGCTTACACTATCACCAGTTGGGATGTTGGAAGGAACAGATGCTGTACACTCAGCCTCCAGCCCATTAGTTGGTCATCCCTAATGTGTTCCTAGAAATATTGTTGATAATCACTAGCATAGTAAGCAGTAAACCGGGTACGTAACAGTGAGTGTCACTATAACACAATTCTTTATTAGTAAAATTCATGAACAATGAAGATCAGTGCCTAGAAGTGTGGCTCAGTGTGGGGCATCTGCCTAGCATTCTTGAGGCCCTGGATTTGATTCATAGCACTACAAAGTAGAAAAAATAAAAAAAGAATTTTTGTCACAATGTCTTTCAAAAGCTTAAGATTGAGTGTAATTCTTTAGGTTTGACAAGATCATGTAGTGTTTTACTCTGCTGAGGCCTAAATCTGTTCAGTGGTTCAAAGTCCCACTGCTGGTTACTATCAGTTAGAGATCCTTTTCAGAATTCCCATTAAAACATATACTAGAATGAGATATCAGTGATTATTCTAACACATAATTGTTGATCTGTGCATATTTTTACTGTGTCATAAAAATGAATTTGTACTGTTTACACCATTTTGAATCTTACCTTGACTAAAGAAACAAACTTTGATAAAGTCAGGGTGTTTTTAAGTTTTAATTTTATTGTTTTAGTTATGTGTTTATGTCTATGTGACAGTATATGCACATGAGTACAGGTGTCTACAGAGTCTAGAAAAGAGCATCAGATCCCTTGGAAGTAGAATTATAGGTGGCTGTGGGTTGCTTGATATTGGTGCTGAGAACTGAATCCAAGTCCTTTCTAAGAACAGTGTGTGCTCTTAATTACTGAGCTCTCTATCCAGTCCAGTCCCTATATTAACAAAAGCCAACTGAAAATTGTTTACGCACATAGGGTTTTATTGCCCTGACTATATTATTTCTAACATGTTTCCTGGCAGTTCCAGGCTCCTGCTTTGAGGGCCACTTATATGAGTCAATATGTGTATCCCTGGAAGGAGGGATGTGTTAGCCTTTTGTCACGACAGAATACCGAGTTAAACAACTTACAAGGTGCAAAAGTTTATTTTGATTCATAATTTTAGAAGTTTCAGTCTATGGTTGGTCGACCCCATTTCTTTTGGGTCTGTGGCAGCATAGTGCATCATAGCAGGAATGCATGATACAAGAGGCCTGTTCACTTTATGGCAGCCTGGAAACAGAGAGTAAGACAGATGGTCAGGGTCCTAAGATCGCTATCAAGGTCACCCCCACCCCCACCCCATTACCTGCCTTCCTTCAGTAGGTCCCACATACTAGAGGCTCCACTATCTCTCCAGCATGCAATGATTGAAACTTTATTGGGTGATTGTGACCCACAGGTGCATCAGGGTCTGGACAATCCAGATTCTGTTAACAAGGCTGGTGGTCAGGAATAGCTGAGCATCTACCCTGTGTCTGCTGCTGGCAAACTTTCCTATAGAATGCTAAGTTCTGTCTTCCGTTTTTCCTGTTCTTCTCTTGATGACAGTGGACCAGATGCTTTAAAAATGTGGAGGTTGAATTATAACACAATAAGTCTGCCTAATATTTGCTGTTTGCATTATTTGCCCACACATCAGCATTCTCCATAATTAAACTTACTGAGTCACAAGGCTGCTTTCATTAATTATTTTATTGATTGTCACTTCAGTAGGACAAAACATGAAAAGAACACCTGATGTTCAGTTAGCAATTAGAAGAAAAAGCCGAGTGAATAAAAAACCCATTCATGAAGGGCTCAAATTAAAGAGAAATAGCTTTGACCAGGGAATTTTATTTGTCTTAGCAATTTACACATAGCTACATTCAGTGTAATACTTTTCATAGTATTATTCAAAACTGGTTATTACAGTAAATCCCCCTTTATCTGCAGGACATGCCCATAGACCTCTAGTGGGATACCATGGATAGTACTGAACGCCATAAATATTGTATATATATATATGTGTATATATATGTATGTGTGTGTGTGTGTATATATATATATGTGTGTCTGTCCTTTTTACTTCCAGGAGGCACATTGTGGCTTCTCTTGGCATATTTGACTTGCTAGTACTGTGGGGTCATTATTATGTAAAATAGGGTTACTTGAAGCATCACAACAGCAAGGTAGTCAAACTGATAACTAAGATAGCTACAACATTACTAACAGGATACACTAGACAAGTGGTTGGGTCTCATTTTTGGTTGGATGGAGTAAGACAGCAAAATGCAGAAGGGCTCTTTGTAGTGATATCTTGTTTATACTCCAACAAATAAAGCTTGCCTGAAGATCGGAAGGTAGAGCTAGCCACTAGTTAACCATAGAGGTCTGGAGGTCTGTATAGACAGACAGGAAGTAAGATGGATAGGTGGAGGGAGGAAGTGATAAGGCAGGAGGAGACAGGAACTCTGTCTTTTTTCAGTCTG